GGGGACTCAGACTACGTATCACATTGATTATAATTACAGTACCATGTTTGAGGTATGCATTTCAGTGTAGGCATCCGCTCGGAATGGTCGCCGGTCCATTCTGGGTTCCAGTGGCCCTAGTCTGCCCACTAGAGTGTGCACATGGTGTCCGGCTTTGCCGGCAGATGAGGTAACGGTCAGGGTCACTTTTGAGTGACGATTTCAGGGTCATGTATACATGACATTATTCAGGGTCACTTTTGAGTGACAATTTCAGTTTTACCGGCTTGAGATTGAGGTTATATACTGATATCATGATGTTGTTATTATTTTCGATGTTTTACATTAGTATGGGTTTCCACGGAATACAGTGCCATAGTGCTCACTCCCCAGTTTTATCATGTTTTTCAGGTCAGGATGTCGGGACGGGAGCGTGACGTGGCGTGACGGGACATTCAGGATATTTATATATGTTTTGGACTGTATAAATACGATTATGATTTACGCTTCCGCTCATATTTTGACGATTTTTGACGATGTTTGTTGGTTTTGACAAACTTTTAAGAAAATTAAGTTTTCAGTAACCGAACGTTTTTATTAAATTAAAACAACGGTTTTCTAAGTTAAGTCACAATTTTTCACGGTAGCACCCCGAATCAGTTTTCGCAAAGTAAAAAGGTTTTATTTTCAAAGACTTTGCGAATTATTGCGCTACTCTGATTTTTATAGTAAGGAGGGGTGTTACAATTGGTATCACAGCACGTTTCTGTGTCTCTGATAAGTTTTCAGTCAGTAATTATTCAGAAAAACCCGCACCGTCATGCTCACGCCCCGCCGACGACAGGTAAGTGCTGATTCAGTTTTTCAGTTATAAACATATTACTTTGTCTATGCTCAGAATTGAGGATCAGGACTTTAGTTAAGATGCTCGAATCAGATTCAGACTTTAGAGTTCGGACATGACTCTAGAATTCAGGCATTCAGATATGACTCTAGACGTTAGGATTTTCCTATATGACTCTAGAGTTCTTCAGGTTTCATGTCAGTATTTATCGGCCATTTTTGGCAACTCGTCAAGAGATCTGTGTGCCTTAGTAATCAGTCAGTAAGGTTATCATATATTCAGTAATATTCAGTAATGTTAAACTTTTCTCAATGTTCAGATGCCGCCACGTAGGGAACCCGATCATCAGGTCCCTAATCAGGCTACGGTAGTCGCTCAGTTCCGCGACTATCACGCCGAGAAGTTTTCAGGACAGGGAGAACCCCACATCGTTGATGAATGGATTCAGGGGTTAGAGTTTATCTTTGAGGTCATGGAATGCCCCGATAGATATCGCGTAGTTTGCGCTCAGCTTTAGCTCACTGGTGATGCAAGGCTCTGGTGGAATGCCTACTAGAGCATGCGTCCCGGTGAAAAGGCGGGTTGTACATGGGACATGTTCAAGAATCTAGTCCGCGACAAGTACTACCCTTCCTACTATCGGGTAGAGATGGAGCGCCAGTTCTTAGCGCTTCAGCAGGGTACTCGTACAGTCGACGAGTACGAGCGAGAGTTCACCAGACTTGCAGGTTTTGCACCGGATCTTGTTCGCACGGAGGCTCAGAGAGCGCAGCGGTTCATTGACGGACTTTTCCCAGCAGTCCGTCAAAACATCGTGGGACACGGGACTCAGACCTACGCTCGTGCCGTCTCTATCGCCCAAGAGGTGGACGCTAGTATAAGGAGGGAGGCAGTTCGTGATCGTGCTCAGCCATCTGCTCCAGCTCAGCCATTTGCAGCCCCACCAGCTCTACCAGCCCCTCAGCCAGCAAAGGAGAATAAGAGAAAGGGAAAGGGTGCACCGACTGATCGGAGGACTCGACAGAGACAGCAGCCGGTTCCACCGTGCCTGACTTGTGGTCGACTTCACAGGGAAGAGTGCCATATGGTACAGGACATCTGCTACTATTGCCATGAGCCGGGACATTTTGCTAGTCGCTGTCCGAAGAGACTCCAGCAGCAGCCTCAGCAGCCACCTCAACAGCAGCAACCACGTCAGCAGGCACAGAGACCGCCGCAGTAGCAGCAGCAGCAGAGGGGCAGGCAGTAGGCCAGGGTTTACGCGGTCGATCAGGCAGAGGCAGCACAACAGCCAGGTACTATGTCAGGGATGGTTGTCCTCAATGATATTCCTGTGTTCGTTTTATTCGATACTGGAGCGACGCACACTTTCATTTCACGCCGATGTCTCGATGCCATCGGAGTTCACGCAGTTACCGCTGTCGATCCTCTTGAGGTGAGCTTAGCCTCGGGACGAAAGATAGTGACCTCAGCTAAAGCCTCAGATCTTAGCCTTTCCATCGGTGGCCGAGTATTGACTGCCGACGCGTTTGTTCTCGAGATGAGGGACTTTGACCTTATTCTCGGGATGGATTGTCTATCCTTTTATCATGCAGATATCAGGTGTCATGACCGGGAGATCACTCTCTATCTTCCGGGAGACGAGTCGATTACTTTCTTCGGCTCCAGGAACCGTTCACTGCCTCACGTTGTTTCGATGGCAAAAGCCACTAAGTTATTGCGACGAGGCAACTGCCAGGGTTATCTGGTAAGCCTTGTTGATGATTCGCAGAAAGCACGGACACCTCATGATGTTCCAATTGTTCGCGAGTTTGTGGACGTGTTCCCAGACGAGCTTCCAGGAGGACCGCCCAACCGACAGGTGGAGTTTTCTATTGATCTTATTCCAGGGGCCGGTCCAGTATCCAAAGCCCCATATCGCATGGGGCCTAAAGAGTTACAAGAGCTTAAAACTCAGATTCAGGAGCTGTTACGACTCGGTTTTATTCGACCGAGTGTGTCACCATGGGGAGCACCCGTTCTCTTTGTCAAGAAGAAGGACGGATCTATGCGCATGTGTATCGACTACCGGGATCTTAACCGGTTGACGATCAAGAATAAGTACCCGCTTCCCAGGATCGACGACTTATTTGATCAGCTGAGGGGAGCCTGTGTATTTTCGAAGATTGATTTACAATCAGGCTACCACCAGCTGAAGATTAGGGAGTCAGACATCGCTAAGACCGCTTTCAGGACTCGTTACGGCCATTACGAGTTTGTTGTCATGCCTTTCGGTCTCAGCAATGTGCCAGCTGTTTTCATGGATCTCATGAACCGTATCTTTCATCCATACCTCGATCAGTTCGTTATTGTCTTTATTGACGATATCCTTATCTACTCGAAGAGTCAGAAGGAGCA